CATCGTTAGAGAAAAAGTTGGGAAAGGATCGACGTATTTGCTACGTTGCAACAGTCAGGATTTCAATAGAGCGCCAGTGCAGAACGGCAGGATTTTACGTAGGTTTTCCGGCGGTCGTAGGTGGGAAATTAACTCGGCGCAATAAACGTCATCGGCAAGCTGCTCGTTTTGAAATAATTGAACCCAGGATCGACGTGCACGTGTCCGTTTTATTATTTATAATCGTGTTCGCGATCAGCTCCGATAAAATGGCGTTGATGGATCGTAATGGCAAATGGTGGACCGGTCTACCGCATTGTTCCAGAACGAAATTAATGTTCGTACAGTTTCCTCAACGCATTACATTAAATCAGTTTGCTTGGTATTACATTTAACGACGTCTTATAGAATTTACTAGCTTCTAATTCAACTCGGTACGTCATAGATAAGAATTCAAGGAAATCATAAAATAATTACACGTTACATTATTGGGCGAACGTCATTAGGAGAGTCTTTGCGATCAGCTCGTAAGTGATACGTGATCTCGTACTCCGTACAAAGTTTGGTTTGCTATGATTTATGCACTTATTCAAGATTTGCCTTGATAGGCGTGTATTTACAAACTGTATTTCCGGTATTATGAATGTGGCGCTAACAGAGGTTGGAATTCCATTACCGGGGAAAACGTAAATATAATTGTAGCGGCGCTGACATAACGGTAAGATAATCCGTCGAGCAGAGGCGCTAGCTCCGCAATAAATCGTAATTTATGATCGCGGGCAGCCGCCGGTATCTTCCAGAGGAAGAGAGACGGAGATTCGAGAGTCGAAGCTGCCAGAGAGGATGAGACTCCTTCCTCGCCTTTGTAGCCCGTCTCTGTTGTACGCGAGCGCGCGGCGGACGATCGTTTCGCGTCTCGCGCCCTCGACTCTCACTATCGTGGCCAGCCTTTGCGCCCGTTTCTCCGCCTCCTCTTCGGCCAGAAACGACCTAGACGGCCGACATCGAGCCTGTCGACCTCGCACCATGGCCACACTCGAACTCTTTTCTCACCGGCATCGCTTTTTAGTTCTATTTGAAATAATTACTATGCTTCCTGTCCACTTAGGGATTGTATAAATAATTGATCTTGTAGAGAGATTTCAAGGCGTACGCATTTTGAATTAAATCCTAAAAACGATTCAAGGCTGAGATTAGAGAGTTTGCGATACGATGATCTCGTTAGCGATTAATGCGTTTTCAATGGTTGCTCACAGATTAAAAGTCGGCGCCTGGTCGGTTTTCTCCGGCACACCAATAAATTAATTGCCGAGATTTACGTATCTTGCCCGTAAACCAGTCAGCGAGACTAATGCCCGGCCGCTAATTACATAATTATACAGCATTATGTTACGACGACCAATTAATACGTGGGTACAATGACTCGGCGCGAGCGCGTAAGTCATCGGCTCGCGATCACTCGCGTCGATAACGGCGCGTCGCTTCGGCCATCATCGCGTCGGGATTTATAATTTATCGGTCGCGTGTTCCCGCCGCTGTTTCCTGATCATCCGTTCACGTTCTGGTTTCACTTTCTGACATTTCCAAGATTGTACATCTTCCCGCGCCTGCCGTTTACCGTAGCTACGTTTCCCTCGAAAAATGCTGACAGCTGATTGCACCAATTCGAGTTGTGAAAGTTTAAAGAAACTGGTTTCTGCATAGAAACGAGTCACTTTGTGTATAATAATTTCATAATTAAGAAAATTGTTTTTCCTTTCGTATAATTTTCCTTATACATCGTGTGAAGATATTACTATATTTGAATTACAGTTTAGCGTACTTCTTGAATTGAGAAGGACGTCGTTCCTAATCGCTTCAATGACAGGTCATCGATCAATTAAGGGTGATCGATCATCCTCGAGTTGCAACGTATTGATTATACTTTTCATCCATGCACTATATCCGTTAATACAGCTTCATGCAGCATGATTAAATAAGAAACAATTAAAATACAATTTTCATGAACCTTTTAAATTGACTCGTTCTTTAAAAATTCAATAATTATTGCAGAAGAAATGTTGCTCAGAAGGAGCTATCAAAAGTACAAATATTTTTTGCAATCATCTAAATATTCGTAATAATTTCTATGCCGTTTGAAATAAAAAAAACTCCGAACGTTACATCGCATCAGGCGCTGTACCTCTCACCCAACTCTTGACCGTCACCCACGTGACGCGTCGGCTGGATTTCGTCATCGATCACGCATCGTCGCCAACATTTTCTTCCGTCACGAAACGAGACGGAACGCCTTTTGACCCAGTGTTTTCCGTGACGGTGGCGGGGGCGGAATCGGTCGACGGGTCACGCCGGAGGCGCGGGGGTGGAATATGAGATGCGGGCGAACTGATTTATTTAAGGGGCAGGCCAGACATCCGGTTTGTCGAATTACGCTTTAAGAGCGTCTGTAGACACGCGGAGTGGCAGATAAAAACGCAGAGGGAGAGGAATACAGGTCGAGTAGGGAACGAGAGAGATGAGAGAAGAGGCAACGAGGTGGAACGAGACCGCGTCAAACCCGTTGACCCGTTAACCGTTTATCATTGCATCGACACGAGTCACGCACCCCGGGCCCTTGGCTGACCATTTAAAAAACGAAAAGAACCGCAGGGACTTCAGTAGGAAGTGACGTCACCGGGAAGGTCTCACCTCTGAACGGTGCCGTTCATCTCTTATATCTAATATTCATCCATATTTTTATGAATTAAATCCAATTATCGAGACTATGGATAATTCTTATTATTGATAATATTTGTTTGGATTTGTACGAAGACACGGTAGATTACAGGGAACAATGTCGATTTAATCGATTCCGTGGCACGTTAAGATTAGACTCGACCGCTGGGTCCGATCATTGCCAGACAAGATGATCCTCGCCTCGTAGGTGACAATGACAAGCATCGCCCTTTGTTTCGTACTTGCTGCTAGTAGGAAGCAATCCAGCGACAACCGATGCATTATTAATGTCCCCTCGTTCGCTTGTTGCCGCTCTTGTACTCGCTCGGCTCGACGTTATACGTATATATGTGTACACGTACGTATATCCTCTGCGTGTCCGGGGACGAGTCGATCGCGGGCCCCCCATCTAATGAAAATTAAGACGTCCCGGACGAGAATTATGTGAAATTAATTGAACCGTACATAACTGGCTCTCTATTCAATTCTCCCCGGTGCTAAGCCAAGATTATTATTCATAACAGAGACAACGCTGATATATCGCGTTTATTCTTAATTCTCGCCGCGCTCCGAGCTAAAATCACCTTCGCCGTGTTATCTATCATTAGGACATTAATCACGCCGCACCGGCGCAGCGCAACCCACGTGAAACCGCGAGTATTAGACGCGTGCAGAAATAACGGTCGTGTATGCGTTGAAAATCTTTATTGGTATCTATTCTCCACTCCGTGCGTGGAATATCCTATCCACCACTTTCTTCAGTCTTGCTTTCTTCACTTCACATGAAATCAGGAATGATTTCGTATTTTATTCATAAATTTTTTAATGCGTTATGAAGCAACAGCAGAAAATGCATTCAGGGACGATATTGTTGTTTTTTTTTCGTAACATTCTCATTGATTCTCGCATCTTGGAGGCGAACGAGAAGTCTCTTCGGAACGATTCTTTCATCGTCGACGACCCTCGTACGCCAGGAACGTCCTATAGATTTGACCGTGTAACGATTTTAACCAGATACGAGAGCGGCCAATCGGAGGGGAAAGGGAGAAGACCGGAGTCGGTACATTATCGCGAAGATGACGCCTATGACAGCATGTGGGAGTAGCTGTCACTCATTGTTGCCCCGGCAGACGTGATATATCCAGACATTTCGCTTCGTGATACCGACCTGCCTGGAATTCTTATCCTACGACCCCGGGCCACGATCGATACCGTTACTTGCTTTTCGCGTAAACAACATTTCCCTAGACTTCAAACGTATCTCGGATGATCCGATAAAATTATGATTGATCATGCGTATATTCGATTTTTAAATATTTTATCCAAAATGAGCGTTTCTTATTCTTACATATCTTTATTACATTATGATGAATAAAGAATCGGTCGATTATGTAATATTAGTCGCAGTAAGGATTATTCAATGTTTTTTTTTTAATGTAAATACGAACTCAAATTTGTACTTTGGAGCACCTGCTTTACATTGTAAACATTGCTACGTGACTTTTTCCACTCATTGCGCACTTCGTCTCGTACTAGTCGCTCAGTCCTTCGCGGTAGCGGTCAGTGAATGGTTCGTGTTTCTGAAATCGGGTTTCAAGTAATGAATATCGAAATTCTATCGTAACTATTTTAATTGTGCATCATTAAAGTGTAACATATAACAAGTTATCGAAGACTTGGCTGTTCACTATAACGAATTCTCATTGTAGAATAGAGTTGCCTGCTTATCAAGGTGAGTAACAGTTGGACACGGCTCCTGCAATCAGAAACAGAACAATTATATAGGCCCGCTGTCTTAGTCCTTTGATATTCCTCGCACGGGGCGAGCCCGGCAATTTGCCGTGCGCGTATTTTCCTGAACGGGCAGGTTCGCGGCTCCGTGATTATCACACGGCTACATCCGCGGAATAAGCGAACGGGCACGGCTCGCACGGGCCGGGAATATTCAGCGGTCGGCGCGAGCCTCGATTCGTAGGACTCGCGCGTCGTCGAATCGTTTAAATGCCGTGGGCATTTTCGAGGAGTGGTACGTGTGCTCCGCCTTTAATCGAGATCGAAATCGACGCCGCGGCCCCTCGTCAATGCTATTCCGTGTAACTATCTACGGGAAACGATATTGCGCGCATATACTCGAAACAACCCTTTCGAACGAACGTGACGTGTGGAGTAAGAGGCAAGATAGGTTTACCCCGCCCTGAGAACGATCGTGTCGTGCGATTCGCGTGGTGCTTGGTTTTACGCTGCAGATGCGTGTGGTTTGTACGATTGTGCGTTGTTTGATGGTTTGTTTGTTACGCTCTTTGCAGAGGCCACCCTCGTCGTCGCTGTCGTACCCTGGTGCGGGTGGTAACGACGACGCACGTAGTCCCGGAAGCGGGGGCACGCCGGGACCCCTCAGTCAACAAGCGCCCACCAGCCTGGACTCCTCGGATCCTGGTGAGTAAACGTATTTTTTTAATAATGAAGAACATAATTCATAAATTCATAATAGTATATTCAATGTTATTTATCAGCTTGTTCTAATTGTTTCCTCTGAATCAGATATTACGTTCTTCATATAAATATGTATATACATGTGTAGCTTTTTTTAACGCGGCGCAACTTCGGAAACCGAAAATCGGAGATGTAGAGAATAATTGACATGATGTAAATGAAGTATGACAAAGCGGACAGACTTCAATGCTATAATGGAACGTTTATCGAATTGCTTATCGACTCGATCGTGAGAAGCGTTCGAACGGTTGATTCGATGAACGCGGAACGATCGGCGAAAACCCGTGTCTGTCCCGTGGAGTCGGTCGATTTTATTCAGAGCTTGGCGTGCTAATGACAATATCACGCGACGAGCGTCGGGCTTGATGACAATCAAGACGCGACTCGTCGGGACCCCACGGACCTTCTGCACACCCTTCAAATTTTACGAACACCGACGCGGCCGTCTCAACACTATCAAACCCGCGGTAACGCCACCATCGGGGCTAATGAGCAGCCCGTCCCATTGGCGTAATGCTTTCCACATTCCCTCATTTTTTCATAGTTACAAATCTTCAAATTTATTTCGAGATTAAAAATTTTTTTATGTATTGCAATTGGCGTTGCAGATTTTTCCTCGATATCGACAGAATCGTGGATATTCTCTCATGAAGCGTCTAATTTTTTTTAAAACACATAATTTCACGTATTCATACAATTAAACATAAAAAGTGAGGGAGGCAAATCCTTGTATTTTCGTATATTTTTAATTTCTCACGTAAATGAGAAAGCAAGGCTTAATCCGTGAGGGAAAGTAAAAGCTTTGAGCGCGAATTTTCTTCAATTTTCTTCAATTTTCATTCCGGTTTGCCGGTGGAAAAAAGACGGGAGTAGAATAACGTTTTACCGCGGAGGGACGCGCCAATGGTTAACGCAGTCGGGTTCAGTCAGTCACCGAGGGTACACAAGTTCACGACACCATCCCATAAAGATTCATTAAGGTCTGCCGTCTCCACGTTCGCTGGTGTGTCGTGGCAGGCGTTATAGAGCCGCGTAGCGTGCCAGTTTGTTGCGTCTATACACACACTTGCCGGTATATATATGCATATATGTACGTGCGCTCGTCTTCTCAGTTTTCTGCGTGCGCGTGTAAGTACACGCCACAGTCAAAACGGTTGATCAATAACAATCAGAAGCGTGCGTTGCTCCGATAGTAGAAACTAACCGAGGAAACGGAGTACAGTTTAAGCCAGGCATCATCGTCCTCGATTGGAATGATAGCGAGATGATAAGACGTAATTGCATGTTCGTGGGTGGTACAATATGTACTTTCACATGCTTCGTGATGCATAGTCTGAAAGCAATAATTAGTACGGAACCAGTGTTTATTTGCTTGAATTATAATTAAGAGATTTGCCACGTTTTATGAAGATCTTTCGAATGCGCATAATTTCCTGCGGACTGCAGCGCAGTAAATGTTACTTTATCTTCAGACTAGTATTACTCGGGGTTTATGGAACGGAGCTAGTACGCCAGGTACTTTGCACGTTCACCGATGATGTCAGAGATTCTTCGCGTTAAACGGCCGCGATTGCCGGTCGCGTATTTGTCATCGGGCTTTAAAATTCATCGCATGAGAAACGAGTGGTCGGTTCGTGACGAGATTTCGATCAGTGCAAGAGTGCTTTACGGTTACGTTCGCGAGTCGCGGTCGCGCGTTCGCTAGATATTAATTAAACCGGCGCTAAACGGTAACGCAACACCCTTCGGATCAAACGTCGCTTTTTCACCGCGATCTGCACGGAAACGCTCCTTATCCGCGAGCGTATCGGAGTCACTCCACCGGGAAATATCGCGATCGTTATCGCGTTACGACTCGACGGGAAAAGTATGAAATCAGTGGCTTGTCCATCGCGGTTCTTCCTCGATCCTCGCGCTTCAGCGCGAGTTGATATCGATTTGCATTGCGATTGAATGAAACAGTCGTCGCAACCTCGAGGGAAAAGAACGGTCTTTCTGTGATGTAAAAGACTGGTCATCGGAGTTAAAAGAAATTGTATGAATCATCCGTTCGTATTTTAGAAAACTATTTTTTCATTTCCCAGGGAGGATCGACACAGTCATATCCTATCGAACAACTTTCTAAAATGCATTCATTATCGGGAAGGAGCCATTTGTAGAATGAATCAGCAGGCACTGAGAGCCGCTGTTAAACGTTGTTCAGCGAATCGATTCCCCACGGTGAACGAGGCCGCATGCTATTCTCTCGTTAATCCTCAATTACAATATTGTTTATACCTTAAACGAGCCGAGGAATCGCGTTTCTGGAAAATCCTATCGACTTAAATTGCACACAGCTGTTTTTCCTCGAGAAAGAGAAATCTAAAATACATATTCTCCATTCTATGCCTCCTGGCGCGGTTGTCAGCTTTTTTTCGCGAGGGAACAAGAAGTTTCTTGGTCTCCTCACCCACGCGCGCGGGACGATCGTTTAGGTTCGGGCGAACTCTCGTTCCTGTCCCAGTTAACTTAACCTAACGTCCAGATAGCATCGTGTTCTCATCGAAGTTGTCACCGTGGGACGAGCAGGCATTTGCTCGGCGCCCATCCTCTCGGGGCTTTTCTTCCTTGTGTCGCGTCGTTTCGGCCTGCGTCTATCGGGCCTTTTCGTCGTTTCCCTCCGTGGTCCGTGGGGCTCGTTAACGTGCCGGCTTGTTTGCCGTCAGATATCATCTTCGACGGCCGGTCTCTGTTGCGTTTGACCTTGTCCGCGGCCGTGGAACCTCCGGTTGGACCTAATTTCTGTCGGAGAGGGTCCGCATCGCTGGATCTGTCCCATCGACATGCTCGTTTAACCATCGCTATTCGTCTAGGAAGAAATACGACTCCGCTACGAAATAGCGTCCGTGTTTAGCAACAGCAGCCACTTATCACAATTTAAAAATGACAATCATACGAGTTTAATAGTTAATTAAATTCTTAGGAAATTTTGAATAAAAAAATTAAATAAAATTATTACAACGCTCGACAAAAAAGGAAGTTCCTTTCTGTATAAATGAATAACGTTTAGTCATGGAGCTGAAGAAATTGAAAGTAAAAATTTGGATTTCTTTGATTCTGTAATGAAGCTGTCAAGTTTTTAATTAAGGATCGTTGTCTTTTACTACGTGGTTATCTCGGGCCGCGAGCGTGTATCGATACACGCCGTCGGGGCGGAATATTTTTCCAGGACACGCTGGAAACGCATGTCAGCGTCACGTGGGAAGAGCGCAGCCCGGGCATTAACATATCGTGTCGCAATCGCTCGCGGATAAACACGTTCGTTCTCCCGTGGCGTCGCGTCGAGGCTAGAGGAGATTCTATCTCATCTATACGGCCGGTCGATCGCGATACGTCCTCGATGAACAAACCGTTCCTCCGAGGCTGCAAAACGGCCTTTTCTTGTCGCTCGCCGTGAGAACTCGTCAACTCGTAGAAATAAAAACTTGAAATACTTGGAGCTCCGTTCATAGTTCGTGGTTATGATCATCTCCAGAACTTGCGGTTTTCATTCAGATGCGATCGGTTTGAAATAAAATTCTTGGAAACCTTTAAGGACGATTGAGATCGTAAGACACAGTCGCGTGTCGAAACCCTTAATCACCCGTGAAAGAATGACGCGATCCTTCGTATTCGTAATTATTTATCGCGATACTCCGTATTCGTTAATGGAGCTATTTTCGAATATTTTAAAAGGCTGGAAAAGTTTCCACTTAGCCGGTTCTGAAATACTTAGAACGGGATTCGTTAGCTTGACAAGACGTCGATCTACGATCTAAAGTAGCGAACAGTCCTGGAAACAATCTCCGGGGACGCGCTATCGATCCCTGTATCTGGCGTGAGCGCGGCATCGGTCCACGGTTCCCTATGGGAAGGGTTCCTCTCCACCTTCGCTACGGATCGTTTTTTCCAACGATCCTCCGGACTCCGCTTGTGAGTTAGATCGACCCTCTCGATTCGGCAGGAACGAGTCCTGTCAAACGGAAGAGCTGCTCTCCTGCCATGCCGCCTGGCTCCTCTTCTTCCTCTCTATTTCTGGTGTCCCTTCCTCTAGTAACAACCTTCTCCGAGTCGCCGGACTTTTCGTGCCGCTTCTTCCCAGTTCTTTTTCTTTCTCGAGATTCTTAATCGACGGTCCATCGACTCTGTAGTCTCTTCGGTGGACCCCTCCCTGTCGAACGGCCCCCTTTCTTCCTCCGCGTCGTCGGAAGACGGTGAAAAAGCCTCGGAACCAGATATCCTCCGGTTTCTGACAACTATCTGGCCGAACGCGGTTGAAGAGAACGCGGACTGGTAGAAAGAAATAAATGAAGAGAGGCGAGAGATACAAGAAACCGGGATATAAGAAGGGGTTTAGGGGGCGAGAGGGGCGCGCGGAGGGTGGGAGCGTGTTAAAGCCTGTACGGGGACCAAAGATCACGAGGAGAATTCCTGGAAATCGGCGCACGTGGGAGAGGAAGCCGGAGGGGAGTAGGAAGATAGAAGTAATGAGGCTGATTCTCTGTTTTCTGTGTTTTCAGCGAGCGGCGCGGCGGTATCGGTCGGTTATCGGACCGTTCTTCCTTTTTTTTTTTTTTCTTCTCCCCCCTTTTTTTCCCCTTTTTCACTCTCCGCGGCATCGTCTTGCCGCCATCTTCCGCCTCCGTGCTCCATCGAACAGCCCCCTGCCCCCTCTTCTTCCTCCTACGTTTCGCGTTTCCCTCTCGCGGCATAATGAGGCTTTCATGTCGTGAACTCCTGCTCCTCGTATCCCTTTTTCTCCAACCCTCTCGGTGTCCCACGTGAAATCTCGTCGAACAAGGGCTCCGAACGCCGCGCCAGCTTCCTCTCCACGCGTCTCAGTTAGCTCCCTTAAAAGATCCGAAGCTCGTCTGTTTCATTCAATCTGTATATAAAAATCTGCGTCAATACATAATCTTACGAGT